TAAACATATTGAACATAATTATACTGTATTACTAAATAAAATGCATGATAATATTAAATGTTAACTGTTTGTATTCAACGATAAACTAAAAATGTCAACACAAATAAAATAAATAATAAAAATTACTCACTAAACTAAACACCAAAATTTGATGATAGTACTATTTCACACCAATAGTTATAAATCGGGCTATAATAAAATTTATTCTAAAACTGAATTAAACTATAATAATTAAGTCGTCAAATGTTGATAACGTTACTTATGCAATAAAATTTATAGTGATAAAAAATTAATTAATTTAAAAACAATACTTATACTCTGAAAATCATGAATGTAAAATTATCTCTATTATTTTCTTATAGTCTTAAGTAATTTTAATGTTGACTATAATTTTTATTAATAATAGTATTACATAGAAAAGTCCTCAATGTTTTGTAACCAGTAAAATTTATAAATAGCATAAAATTTAAAGAAATTAATACTAAAATTTATCCCTAATATTGAGCCATATTTGATCAGTAAAATCTTAATTATTAATTAAAATATAAATAAATTGCATATTAAATTATGACGTACATATGCAAGTTTTATTCGTATTAATTACCACTCAATCCATAGTGATATCCAATTTAATTCATTACTCACTACAAGTTTATTAGTAATAAATTATTACATTCCTATGTAATTGAATTATTAATAAGTATTAATATATCCATATGTTTCAACCATTAAATGCCATTTAATTATAAGTAAAAAATTTGTCCACAGTTTACAACTAGATTTAAGCCCGACTATACGTATATTTTATTAATTATTTTTAAGATCATACTTGTTAACAAAAAACACCTATAGTAAATAATGAATGAGTATTTACTTTTATTGTTTGTGATATATTTCGCGTATAAATTATGGCGAAAATTATTCTCGAAAGAAAATGTATGTATAATTACTTAAATTAAATACTAAAAAATTATTTTATATTAACAATAATCATATTTATTACTATGTAATATGTTTACAAGAATGAAACACATACTGCCCAATTTGATGAGGAAACTTTTGACGGCTACCCAAACACTTGGGTTATGATAATGACATCGACAGAGTTGGCCACCAATAGTGTTAAGCCCTTTGAAATGTGTGGCCAACAATTGGTGGCATTCAGGGGTGCGTCGGGTGCTGTCCACGTGTTGTCCGCCTATTGTCCGCATTTGGGCGCAAATCTCGGTATCGGTGGACATGTGGTGTCGGAATCGGGAGACGACTGTATTCAGTGTCCATTTCATGGCTGGAGGTTTGGTGGACGAGACGGACAGTGCAAACGCATACCTAATATTGAAAGTAATGAGTTTTAATATAATATATTTTATACAATTTAATATTAATACAATTAAAAATATGTATTTTTATTTATTTTATAACATTTATATTAGCATCTGAAATGAACAAATTGAACGCTAGCGTAAAACACTGGGAGACAATTGAAATGAACATGATGATATTTGTTTGGTATCACAAGGATGACGCCCAACCCGATCACTATCCGCACGATTTCATGGCTGATTGCAACCAAAAACTTGTTTTGCATAAAGCATTCAGGTCGATTCATAATACAACATGTAGGGTGAGTTAGTAATATTAAGTTCTAATTATCATGTTCTTTATCAAGCTATTATTACAAAAATAAATAAAGTAGCATGTTAAAATAACTCATATCCTAAAGTAATTACATTTAACTGTTACAATTAAGATCGTGATGGAAAACGCGGTAGACGAGGAGCATCTCATTACGGTGCACGCCAACATTATGCTCGGCGTAGCTAGCACATTTGAAAAGCAAACACCGGCTAAAGTAGCTGGCGCAAAATCAATCACGGGAGCGTATGGGCAGATTAATTTTTTTCTACTTGGTCGCCACATTTTCAGCTGGTTAATTAAGTTCACCTGCTACAGCCCGTTGTATTGCATTAATTATATCAATTCTGTCTCTACCGTGTGTGTGACAGCGGGCACACCCTTACGGCCCAATAAGACCACGCTTAATGTGTTGTATTTCGCGCCACCTGGCTTGTTTTACCGTTTGATCGCCGAATTGGCTACGTTCTCATTTAAATTAGAGGTATGTATTAATTTCTGTCACGTGAATTACCTTATTGTATACGTAAATTTTATTTAGAGTGTAAGTGAACATACATATTGTATGATATAATTTTAAATTATATTTATTTTGTCTTACAGATAGAAAAAGACGATAAGATTTGGGAAGCGCTTCGACGACCAAAACGTCCCATATTTACGTCAAACGATGAGCTGATTGTAAAGTTTGGCCGCTTTTATAAGTCATTTGTTTAATCAATATTATGCTAATTTTACTCTCTCTCTCTCTCTCTCTCTCTCTTATGGATTTACATTAGGCTCATAAGTACAAGCATATTAAACATTCTCTCTCTCTCTCTCTCCAATTCACTCAACACTCACTTGAAATCATATTAAAATTATTCAAAGACTCTCTCTCTCTCTCTCTCTAGTTTTGTTAATACTTCATTATTAATTATACTCTGTTTTTACAAAAAATATTTTTATTTTGTAATACTAGATAAAACTAAAATATACTATATCTGATCAGATTAATTAAACAAAAATTTTATTACAAAGTGTTTTAATAACTTCTTAAAATTATCGTAGTTTAATAAAATTTGTTTAAAAGTTATTTAATACTATTATTATTTATCTTTATTGTTTTATGTCCAATAATTATTAAATATACAACATAAAACGTGGTAATTACAGCCGAAAGAAATGGTCCTGATTATTTAAAATAAGTTAGCATATTATTTAACTTTAACTCAAGCCCATAGTAACAGTATTACATGTTTGTAGCAATATACCAATAGTATATCATTTAATTATATAAATTAAATATATTACCCAATCCATACCCACTCATTACAAGTAACTTATATTGCATTCCTAACTCGTAAGTAATTATTAACTTACAACCATATGTATATAACCATATGTTTTAAATTAAATGCATAATAATATTGAATTTAAATAATTTACAAACTTCAAATGTCAATACAAGTAAATTAAATAAACATAATTAACATAGATTAAATTAATACAAACGACCATGGTACTCCATCACAAATGAATCAAAATTATGATAAGGCGGAGGCCGGTCATCACCTGAACTACCAACAGGGGCAACTGTGTTATTATCACCCAGACCATGTACCATTGAATTATTAAATTTGACATGTTTACTACCGGCAACATCTCTATAACCACCATTATCAATCAGCTGCTGATCATTCACATAGATGTCGGTAACCTGGGGTATTTTATCATAACCATCTACGCCTAACTGACCCGTACCCACATAACTCACATTATGTGCCAACCCTTGCGCATACTGTTGCGGTTGACCCTCATATATAAGGGTATACCCCTCATCGGGCAATCTCTGTACGTACTGATGTGGTTGACCCATACCATCCTTATAATTCTCATTGGGTAGCGGCTGAACGTACTGTTGTGATTGACCCTCATTAACCACACATTGGTTATGCTGTGGGCTATAGTCGGGCGCCTGGAGTTGGGGTCCATTGGTTTGTGTGCGTACGGTGTCGTACAGGCGCCGCAACTGGGGATCGTTGGCGGCCACCTGCGGGCCAGCGGTGGGCTCGACCATGAAGAATGTGTGCCCACCACCGTTCATGGCCGTGGTCATGTTGGTGAGCCGGGCCATTTTGATACGATTACAGTCGGCCGCAAATACAAAGGCCAGCACACTGACCCCGATGTTAATTAAAAATGATGGTAGGTAGGCCACGTGGCGAATGACCAACGAAAAGCTTGATAGAGTTGCCAGGGTCATTAGTATGGCGTAGGTTATGGATAGGCCAAAGTGCTCTCGGTATACGCCGATTATACCGATGGTTGGTATGACAAAGCATATTAAGGCGATCGTGATGAAAAATGGTATGAAAAAGCCCTAGGTGTAAAAAAGTATAAATGTTTACTAAATAATATAACATAACTATTTCAATGTTGTTTCCATAGCATTATATAATGTATTATAAATCTAATGCAAAAATAAATCAATGAATAGCAGAGAAAAAC